CTCACCCAGAACAGCGTTCCCCCCCCACCCAGTGCAGCGCTTCGTGGCCCCATAGGGAGTTTCACCGAAGAAGATGTTCACAATTGCGGTTTCCACAACTGTATATGGTTGGGTCATTCGCCATGATATTTTTACTATTTTTGAGCATTATTGGAGTATGTTCTGAGTATTTGCAATTTGTCGTACAAAATCGGCCTGTAGGGGGACAGGCCCGACCTAATGCTTGTGATTATTTTTAACAGGTTCCATTGTCAGTATCGCCGCGGACGTACTAAGGTTTGTGACGAGAGGCATTTGCCCACGATTATCGCCGTTGGTTTTGGACAACATATGATTGGCATCGTCCCCATGACTGCTGTAGCTACGTCAGGCGTCCATCGGCGCTCGAGGATTCATTTTTTTGAACAAGCGTTTTGCCGTGTTCATTCCCAACCATCCTGTGGTGTTGGGCCCCCGTTTTGAAGAGACGGACCCAGCGTTCTTTTTTGTTGTTCCTTCCTTTCTTCCTCCTCCCCCTTCTCCCTCCCCCTCCTCCCTCTTCTCATCATCTGCATCAGCACCATCAGCATCATCGTCATCATCGTCAACATCACCATCATCGGCATCATCATCGCAATTATCGCTTCATTTCGGCACCAAGTTCGGCACACCCATCATCTGCGTCGTGGCCCCATAGGGAGCTCCAGCCCCAGTGCCACCGTCCACATGCGCCCCCCGCACCCATGTCGGCACATCCCTCACACGTTCTATGGCCCCATTGGGAGCTCCACCAACTGCCCCAGTGCCACCGTCGACATATGTCCCCCACGCTCATTTCGGCACACTCCTCACACGTGTCGTGGCCCCAGCTCCACCGATCGCCCACATGCAACCGTCCACATGCGCCCCCCACACGAAATTTCGGCACATCCCTCACACGCTTCGTGGCCCAACAGGGAGCTCCACCGGAGGCCCCAGCGCCACCGTCCGCACACGTTCTGTGGCCCCGTAGGGAGCTCCACCAAATGCCCCAGCGCCACCGTCCACATGCGTCCCCCGCACCCATGTCTTCACACCCCTCACATGCTTCGTGGCCCAACAGGGAGCTCCACCGAAGGCCCCAGTGCCACCTTCCACATGCGTCCCCTACACCCATTTCGGCACACCCCTCACACGCTTCGTGTCTCCATAGAGAGCTCCACCGAAGGCCCCAGTGCCACCGTCCGCATGCGTCCCCCACACCCATTAGGGCACACCCCTCACACGCTTCGTGGCCCCATAGAGGTTTCCACCGAATGCCCCAGTATTTCCGCCCACATGCGTCCCCAACACCACTTTCGGCACACCTCTCGCACGTTTCGTGGCCCCATAGGGGGCTCCACTGAAGGCCGCAGTGCCACCGTCCACATGCGTCCCCCGCACCTACTTCCGCACACCCTTCACACGTTCCGTGGCCCATTAGGGCGCTCCACCGAATGTCCCAGTGCCACCGTCCACATGCGTCCCCGCACAACCAATTTCGGCACATTCCTCACGCGTTTCGGACCCCAGTGGGAGCTCCACCGAAGGCCCCAGTGCCACCGCCCTCATGCGTCCCACATTCATTTCGACACACCCCTGACACGTCTCGTGGCCCCAGCGACACCGTCCACATGCGCCCCCCACATTCATGTCGGCACACCCCATCACATGTCTCGTGGCCTCATAGGGAGCTCCACCAGAGGCCCCAATGCCACCGTCCACATGCGTGCTCCGCACACACTTCGGCACGCCCCTCACACGTTTCATGGCCCTCAGAGGGAGCTCCACCGAAGGCCCCAGTGCCACCGTCCGCATGCGTCCCCCGCGCAAAATTGGGCACACCCCTCACACGTTGCGTGTCCCCATAGGGTGCCCCATCGAAGGCACAAGCGCCACCGTCCACATGCGCCCCCACACAACTATTTCGGCACACCCCTCACATGTTTCGTGGCCCCATTGGGAGCTCCACCGAAGGCCCCAGTGCCGCCGCCCACATGCGTCCCTCGCCACCAATTTCGGCACAACCCTCACACGTTGCGTGGCCCCATAGGAAGCTCCACCGAAGGCCCCAGTGCCACCGCCCACACGCGTCCCCCACACCCATTTCGGCACACCACTCACACGTTTCGTGGCCCCATTGGGGGCTCCACCGAAGGCTCCAGCGCCACCGTCCACGTGCGTCCCCCACACAACCCATTTCGGCACACCTCTCACACGTTTCGTGGCCCCATTCGGAGCTCCACCGAATGCCTCAGTGCCACCGCCCACACATTTCGGCACACCCCTCACACGCTTCGTGGCCCCACAGGGAGCTCCACCGAGGGCCCCAGTGCCACCTCCCACTTGCGTCACCCACACCCATTAGGGCACACCCTTCACACGTTTCATGACCCCATGGGGAGCTCCACCGAGGGCTCCAGTGCGTCCGACCGCATGCGTCCCCCATACCCATTTCGGCACACCCCTCACACGTTCTGTGGCCCCATAGGGAGCTCCACCGAGGGCCCAATGCCACCGTCCACATGCGTCCGCCGCACTCGGCACACCCCTCACACGCTTCGTGGCCCCATAGGGAGCGCCACCGAAGAGGAGATTCACAATTGCAGTATTCACAATTACATATGGTTGGGTTATTCGCCAGGCTTATGTTTTTCTTTGTTTCAAGCCAGAGGGGTCCAGGGCCCTGTCGCGGGCCTCCGCAGATCTGCAGCGGCATTGATTGCTGGAGACCCACAGACCTCCTGCTTCCTGAAGAGTTGGAAACAGGTGTCGTTCTCGGTTACCGCATCTCCAGGGCCGGTTTTGGGTTCAGGGTCCACTCAACAAGCGACACCCAGGACGAACAGGCTGTTCCCAGGAAGGCAGGGTTCACTGATGTCGCCCGCCACTATCTTGTGACTCATGCTGGCTGGTGCTGATGGAGACAGGGCCGAACATCGACATGAAATTCCAGAAGAGAGACGCCATCTGAAACCGATTCTTTAATCGTGGCCGTCTCGGTGAAATACGGGCCCGGCAGCTGCGCAAGTCTCGCATTGTGAGGCGTTGGCCCATGGCGATGCTAGGAACATGGCGAAGGAACCGCCGCCTCGAGTTTGTTCGCGCTGCCTGGAGATCTGGGCGCTCCAGGGGTGAATATTGCGCCCTCAGGGGATCAAGATCCGCTCAGAATCGTTCGCTACGGTGGGTTCGCATCGTGTCGACCGGTTGCGACCCCAGCGCGGGCGTGTAAGGTCGAACGCCGCCCGTGGCACAGAATCGGCCCATCGTTAAAAGATTCGGCGTTTCTCAAAGGGCTGATCGTTCAAGCTTGAACGATCTCCGCGGTGTCAGGAAGCAGCGCCGGGGTCGACACGACGCGAACTTGCCACAGCCTCGCCCAGCGACGGGCTCCATCGATCCCTGGCGAGCCGCGTCCAGCCGTGGCGCTGAGATCCTGCAGGAACGCCCACAAGCCTTCACGAAGAGACGACGACGCCTGGCGACGGCGCATACCCAGGCTCAGACCTATCGGGAAGTGCGTGTTGACCGTACGGGTGATGATGATGATGATGATGACGATGAAGATGATGATGATGATGATGATGATGATGATGATGATGATGATGATGATGATGATGATGATGATGCTGATGCTGATGCTGATGCTGATGATGATGATGATGATGATGATGATGATGATGATGATGATGATGATGATGGTGATGGTGATGGTGATGGTGATGGTGATGGTGATGGTGATGGTGATGGTGATGATGATGATGTTGATGTTGATGATGTTGATGTTGATGTGATGATGATGATGTTGATGATGATGATGATGATGATGATGATGATGATGATGATGATGATGATGATGATGATGATGATGATGATGATGATGATGATGATGATGATGATGATGATGATGATGCACCAAGGCCACGCGGGCCGAAGAACCTCCAGCCCAGCTCCCCGACGTGCGGACCCCCAGAGGCCTCCTCGGCCTCTTCCCCGGGGCAGGCTTTTCTCTGACGGCGCCGGAAAAGCTAGCTGGGGCTCCCTGGAGGCCGAAAGCGGCCAGAGAGCCTTCGCCGCGATCCGTGCTTCCGCACGAGGGGACCATGGAAACACCCTGCTAAGGTCCGGTCGGATTATCGAGGAAGAGGATCGAAACACCATGGAAACACCTTGCTTCGGTCCGCGCCTGCGGGCGCCTAGCGCCCGCAGGCGCGTTATCGAGGAAGATGCAATGCAGATTTGGCTTCAGTGCGTCGGCGCTGTAACCCCCACCCTGGCACGCGAAGCCCAGCGCCAATCCACGAAATCCTTGCAGTGCTCTGAAAGTTTACGTTTACACAGGAAAACGGCCACTGGAGAGTCCCACAGGGGGTGGACGGGGAGCCCGGGAGCGCCTGGTCCGGCAGCCGTTTCGCCAGAGAGTTCTTCACAATTCATGCAGGAATTGTGCTCTCGCCTCCGTGCGGGCCACATTTTTGGTCCAGACGGTCACGATCCCGGCACCAAGGTCCACACGGCCGTGTCTCGACCTCTTTGATGTGGGTGGGGCTAGGACGAGGATACATCCGTTCCAGCGCGTTCAGGAACGCTGTCAGAGCCTTCCGGAACGCTCCGAGATGGCTGCGGCGCCCGAGACAGCTTCCAGAGCCACCAGATTTGTCCTCGTCCTGGCCTCCTCTCATTTTCGACCAGCCTCTTCACCTTTGCTGCTGTAGTGTGCCTCGCGGGGGTGCTCACGCATTTGGGCGCTGGAAAAAAAACGGTTCCATCTGCTGCGCCGACGTTGGCGCGTAAGCTTCTTCGCAAGGCTGTGCAAAAGCGCTCTCGTCTCCAGTGTGGTTTGCTGCGTCGGCGGCCCGCGTAAGCCGCCGCGTCAGGTCGCTGTGCCACCTCGCGTGGGACCCGTTTTGGATCGTCGCTCATGTGATCCCCCCAGCCCATGCGGAGCCTCGGACTTTGCCAGGCAGGGCGGGGCCCCCCCGGGCGGCGTGAGCTGCCAGGCCGTGGTCACCGAGTGGAGGAGCCAGGGCTACGGCTTCGTGCAGGCGCGGCGCCGCCGGCGTCCGACTGCCCTCCGAGGTTCGAGGATCGGACGACCCCGGCCAGCATCGCTCGGACGTGGGCATTTTTTCTGGTGGGGACCATCAAGGAGCATTATGGAGTCATCTTGCAAAAAAATACACCTGGAGTCATCTTGCGAACCCGCGAAAGCGAACAATGCAGTGGGAATAAACGTCCGAGCGATGGCTAGAGCCTCGAGGGTCCCTGAGACCTTGGCGTCGCAATTTTGTCACACCCGGCGACTTGGGGTCAATACAAACGGGGGTCAGTCAGAGCGCCGGATCTTGCAGGATCCTGCAGTGCCCGGGGTGCATTGGCCCAGGCTGGTGCTCAGGATCCTGCAGGATGTTGCAGGATCCTGCGCAGCCCGTCTGACCCAGGTTTGGATTGACCCGGGTCCGTAGATCCCCGATCGAGCCTTGGGGCCCTCGCGGATCCAGAAGTGCCAGAGAGGACTGGTGTTTTGGCCAGGACTCCAGTTGCGATGTTCCACGCGCTTACGCGCTTGCATGTGCTCCGTGACGTGCTCATTCCCATCCCTCCCCCTTTCTCCCGCGGCCGCCTTTTCCTTTTCCTTCCACTCGCACCCGGGCTAATCAGCAACGCGCTTGCCGAGCGCGCGTGCGGACTGTCGCTGCCGTGCTGCGACGTAAAATTGTGTTCCGTGACTTCGTAGCGCAGGTGTTGAGTTGTTGTTGTTGGTCCATTTCATGTTGGAATTCTGGGCTGGCATCTGTGGCGAAGGCTGGGAGAACAAAGTCGGTACGATTCTCGACAACAGAGGTGACTTGTACGCTCAGGAGACATTGCCGAATCTAGATGTTGTCCGTCACCACCCTCGCAGGAACAGTTACCCATTGGCTGGCAGTGAGCGTACATGGGCTCACTGGCACATTCGAATTTCAGCATCCCGCCATTCACGGGGCCGACGCTCCACTTGCCAGGCCCGCTCCTTTTCCCAATCTGCTTGTGTTGGGTTCTCGTTTTGGGTAAAGCACTTTGGGTCGCGTCCTCCTTCTTCCCGCCTCCCTCCCGCCTCCCCCTTGGGGGGCTGCGTTCCGCGAAATTGTCGCCACTTTCGAGGGCTGCAGGGGGGGGGGAAGGCAGCACAGCGTCACCCCACCCAGAAACAGATTGGACCTCGCCGTCCCTGGGGGCTGCGATCTGCGAAACTGTCGCCACCTTCGAGGGTTGCTGGGGGGTGGTGGAGCGGAGTGACGCTCCACGCAGACTGGAATTTGACCTTGGCATCCCCTGGAGGGCTGCGATCTGCGAAACCTTCACCATTTTCGAGGGCTGCTGGGGGGGGCCAGCACAGTGGCGTCTTACGCGGATTCAGGTTCGACCTCGCCATCCTGGGAGGTTTCGATCTGCGAAACCAGGATGGACCTCAATTAGATATTAACCTGGGTTTGCAAGTTTCTGGGATTATTGACCAGGGTTCATAATGTCTCGCCCGGAACATCATAAACCCTGGTTTATAATGTTCCAGGGAATTCGACCCCAAAAACATGTTAATCTGATTGGGGTTTACAATGTCCCGGGAATAATGAAGTCGGTTTTCGTCATTCCGGAATGACAATAAGTATTATGTTCTCCTCTACCCCCGGGTTCCTCACCAGGTTTTTCATGTCGGAACATTGACCCCGGTTCGTTATCTCCAGGAGATAATAAACCCGGATTCATAATGTTCCCGGATTATTGACCTTGGGTTACTTATTTTGGATTGATAATGGTTGAGCCTGGGGGGCGCCGTTTGGGGGTACGTTCTGGCCTTACTAAACTTTGGTTCATAATGTTGGAACATTAAGCTTAGGTTGATTATTCCGGAAAGATAATGGTTCGGCCAGGGGGGGTGAGCTCGATCCATTCACAGGACAATATTCCATAGGGTATCATCTGCAGATAACGAACCTAGGTTTTCATTCGTAGATCATATACCACGATCGTCGAGGATTTCACGCCTACCCTCTGCGAAACCCTCGCTTTTTTTGATCGCTGCTGGGGGGGCAGCACAAGGACGACATACGCAGACTCAGATTACAACTCGCCATCCCTGGGGGGCTGCGATCTGCAAGACTGTCGCCACTTTCGAGGGCTGCTGGGAGGGCAGGACAGTGCCACGCGGAAACATATTAGAATTTGCCATCCTTTGCGGGGTTGCAGTCTGCGAAACCGTCGCCACGTTCGAGGGCTGCTGGGGGGGCAGCACAGTGATGCACAACGCGGATTCAGACTACACCTCGCCATCTTTCGGGCGGTTTCGATCTGCGAAGTTCTCACCACTTTCGGGGGCAGCTAGGGGGCCAGCATAGTGACGCCATACGCGGATTCAGATTAGACCACGCCATCATTGGGGGGTTGTGATCTTCGAAATTGTCGCCACGTTCGAGGACTGCTGGGGGGATCTCGCCATCCTTTGGGCCGCTGCGATCTGCGAAACTCTTGCCACTTCCGAGGGCTGCGGGGGGCAGCATAGGGGGGAGACTACCCAGAATCAGACTAGACCTCGCCATCCCTGGGGGTCTGCGATCTGCGAACATGTCGCATAGCAGGTGCCCTACCCAACTTCAAATCGAAGGCTGTTGGGTACCTGCTGCGGACCTGGATAAGACCTCGCTGTTCCTTTTGGGGGGTGCGATCTGGGAAAGTGCTGCCACTTTCGAGGGCTGCAGGGGGGTGATGTTCTCTTTCCTTTCGAGCAAGTGAAATGACTAACCACCTCCATCAGCCCTGTTCATCGATATCGATCGGTGCCCTGCGAGTCGCGCGGCTCGGCGAGCCTCCCAAGCAGCGCTCGCAACAAATTTTGGGCCTCAAAACATTACCGCCCCCTGAAAGTTCTTCCCAGTTCAGGCCACACAATGCCCAATGGTTGGGCACATCGTCAGGGTAATTGGAGTCTGCCGTTCGACCTCGCACGTGTTGAGCCCCAATCATTGAATTAACAGGGGGATCAAACGAGGACGGCAAGGAGAGGGACGGGGTGGAGGGATGGATGGTTAGAGAGATGCAGGACGGCCCTGCCGCAGAGCCTGTGTAAGTATTATGCAATGCCACGCCGCGGCACCACGAAGTTGCAATCCTCATTCTGTCCTCATTCTCCTGTCTTCATTCTCCTCTCCTCCTCTCCTGTCCTCATTCTCCTTGGACAGTACTCAGCATTGTGGTGCAGCGGGAACCTGTACAGAGCAAGAGGCCGCCGAAGCCCACGAGATATCGTGCGGGACCGTGAGACTGACATCGGCAGGCAGGCTTGCAGCTTGTGACTGTGTGCGAAAGAGAGCGAGATATGGGAAAAGAGAGAAGAGGGAGAGGAAGAGGTAGGCAACAGCGAAGTTGTGGATGGAGGATGGAGGACCCAAACAAAGCCAAGAACTCGAGCGACGAGGCTGGGAAAGCACAGCGCGGAAAGCCATAATTTCGGGCAGCCAGGCACCCAGGCGCCCACCGAAAACGGCCCAGATCCGGGAACCGGCCGCTCACCGAAAGCGGCTTGGATGTTTATTGGTTCTTTCAGTATCCGTTAAGTCCGTGCAAGCATTGATCGCGTCTCCAGCTTGTGTCCCAGCTTCGTGGTGGCAGTGGTTGTGGTGGTCGTCGCAACGCGCTGCAGGTTGAGGACGGACGGCGGGCGTACGTCCACAAGAACAATTGCGGGGGTAGCCACCTGCAGGATAGGCTCCCCGACGGAATCGTCATCTCCCCCTTGCCCTTATCGCTCCTCATCTCCATTCGGGAGGGGAAGATTGTATCAATGGCACGCCTTCGCTGGAAGCCTTGATCCATCGCTTCGGCCGGGAACATGTTGTTCCTCGGTCAGAATCAAGTTGCCAGGCTCTCCGCGGCGGCGTGTCATTGAAATTGTTGTTTTTCCACCCGTTCATATCCCGTTTGTTTTTTGTGGCTCGTACTCATCCCCGCCCTGTTTCTCCTCCTTCGTTAGTCCTTATCCTTTTGTTGTTTTGTGCATTGCCCCAGTCTGACAAGCCGCGCTTCCATTATTTAACCATAAACTTTGGGCTTCAGTGTGAGCTTCAGCGCGGCTGGGAATACAGCATGTGTTTGTCTTGGAGCGCTCACCCTGCCCACGTGTTACCAGCAAATCTTCTCCGATCGGAATATATAATATATGCAACGCGGGCGCCCGAGGGTTTCCACTTCCTCTTCGTCTCAACCCTGTTCTCTTCTCCTCCTTTGATTCTACCTCCCTGGACCTCCTCGCACATCTCCTCGCCCATCTCTCTACCCTCCCTCCTACCTTGAGGGGGGGAAGGAGGGCGCCGAGAGGGCGGTGCGCTGACCCATCCTGCAGGCCTTCGTGAACTGCTGATGCTGCGTCGACCGCACGCGGAGGACCCCACGGGGTCATGGGGCCCGATGAGAAAACGGAAAGCACACGATTCGGGCTTCCAACGAACCGAAAACTAGGCAAATGCGATCGTGGGCGCTTCAGCAATGAAGGCGCAAGAGCAGGGCAGAGGGCAGACCACTACGTCCTGCGAGTCGCACAGGCAACGCAACGTGCGCTTGCTTTTTGGGACAGGCGTGACCACCTGCACTTGGGCATGGCCACTCTTTTCGCTCCATGTGACCACGCGCGCCATCTACGTCGGCCACAGAGCACACCGCGCCGTATCGTCGCCCAGCTTGGGGACCTGGGCGGCGCGATTGAACAAACACGCTCCAGATGAGGCCCTGGCAAAAAGATAGGGTCGCTGTTGTGGTCGCACCTGGTGGGCCCAGGGTGCGCCGCCGTCTCTGGCGCGCGAGGGCGGTTCGTGCTACCCTGCGGCGGAGAGGCGTGCGCGCGCGGACGCCCCCTAGGATTGCGCCCAGTGGTTCGCATCTTGAGGTGGGATAGTGTGTGTTTCCCGAGCACCTCCTCTTGCCTCCTTCTATCACCGAGCGCGTTCCACTACTCGCAGAGTGCCTGCTCGCAAACGTCCGAAACAAACACATGTCGGCTTTGGTATTAGTTATCGTAGATCCCATGCGGCGTATCCAGGCCATTTGCGAGTAGCTACTTTGCGAGTAGTGGAACGCCCTCGTCTATATCTCTTCCGTCCTCACCTTTTTTTCCTGCTCCTTCGATGAACCCCCTTCCTCTTAGCATACTCGCTGCCTCAGGATTCGGGCCGCGCCCGCTCCGCGAGTCCCGCCAGTGCCGAGTGACACTCCAGAGGCCCCGCCAGACCGCGGCAGTCCCAGTTGCGGGTCGACTGGGGTCGGGGCCCACCGGGGGTGAAGGGGGTTGGGGCGCGAGCGAGCGGGCAGGGTCGGCGAGAATGGTGAAGAGGCGCGGGAGCAGGGGGATGGGAGATAGGGCTCGGGCCCGAGCTGCAACGTCGCGCGCAATGGGAACGCCACCCTGACCGCTGTGATTACGCGACCACGCTGCGAGCGCACCCGCGGCGGACGGCGGAACCGCGCGTCCACCCCGCCGGCGGAGCCCGTGCTACCCTTGCACCTGAATTGCAAATCAACTGGCAAACGATTTTGTGCTTCGCGCAAACAAATCAACATCGGAGCGACATCGTGAGTGCGGATATCATGCGCGGAGTGTCTGTTTGGGATGGTGCTCGCCATGTTATGCATTGTCTTCCTCCTCGTCTCCTTGGCCTCCTCCCTCCTCCATCCCCCCTCCTCCGGCTTGACAGCAGCCAGGGTTATGTTTCTATTGCACGTTGTTTTGCGATTGATGCAGGTTGTGCCATGAGTTGGCAGATGCGGGCAGTTTCATTCCGAAGGGGTGCGTTTAATTTTCTCCAGGTTCCATTGGCACGCGTTCGGTACCCGAGTTGCTGCGTTTCCTGGTCTCTTGCTCGCCTCTTGCTTTTGTCGTCTTTTCTCCCTCTTCCTCCCTTCCCCCCTCGCCCTCCTCCCTTTGAGGTGCCATCGAGTGGCGTAGGATCGCCATGCCCATTCCGAGGTTTTGGTGACATGGACGCGGAAATCTGCAGTCCAACTCCTCTCGCGAGAGTGCTTCAGGCTGAACTGCCCGCGCAGTGCCAGCATATGTGTTGTTCAAGTTTTGGTTAGAATGCCACCTCTTAGTCCAGGGTGAGGTCCCCTAAGCAGCTGCTGTCTCTCTGCCTTCTTGTTGTTAGGGTCTCTTCGTCGTCGCACGTACGGGTCTGCCTGGCCACCACTTTGCACAGTTCGGGACAGGTGTCCCGACCACCTTCTCTGGGCCTGATTGGTGGAGTCATTGCCCAATCAGTTGGAAAGGTGGCAGTTTGCATCATCAGGCGCTTTCTCAGGAAAGAATAAGCATAATGGGCGATCCAATAGCTGATATGAGACAATTCCAAAAACCATTTCCCTGGCCCTGGTCCTCCCTGCCCCCATCTGCTTCTTGCTTGTCCTGCTACTTGCTGCGTATTGCATCGGGCCCTACGGCGTTCGGGAGCGGCGCGCGGCGTTCACAGCGAAGTGGGCGAGCCGGAAAGCCTGGAGGCACAATGGAGCTTGAAGCGAAGAGGGGGCCGGGTGAGGCATGCTGGCGGCACATATGTGACATTCACGAAGGATCTACAGCAGGACGGGCCACAGCAGCCAAGGCGGGTAATTCGGGCCACAGGGTTGGCCAGCAAGGGACTGGGAAGAGTTTTCGGGCGCCAGGCTGGGCGACTTCAGTCGTGACCTGTTTCGAATTTGAAAAGAAGGGGTCCAGAAAAGGGCGTTTAAATGGAACGCGCCAGTGGGCAACACCATTCTGGGTCCACCGCGTTCGTAAGACCAAAGACAACAATGGACGCAGTTATTTTGTATATATGTTCAGTGCCGCCGTATGAGACAAGCCTATTTTATTTCGGCTTGCGTCGCTTGTGTGGCCGCATCAGCAGCAGCAGCGGCCACTTTGGGGGGCGGTGGTCACAGTTTCGCGCAACTCCAGGAGGTGCGGCGCCAGGACCACCGCTGGCTGTCGGGAGGCCGCCTCGTAGACGACCTGGTCGATATCCACGTAGTCGTTGCGTGGTCCTGCTCTTTGGTCACCCATGACCTGATGCTCTGCGGTCGCTCAGGCGCTGGGGGATGGCTGCTCCATGATGGAGCTGGCTCCCAACGGCCAGGCCGCGAGCATAAAGAGTGCGAAGGTCCCCATCAGTGCGTCGCCGAGGTTGACCTGTTCGCGCTCTTTCCCGGTGAGGCGTGCCACGCCCTGTTACCTGCTGCGCAGTGGGCGGGGGCAATGGCCTGAGTTGCAGTCGTCAAGCCAACGGGCGAGGCACCGGGTCTCGCAGAGAGGACCTCCCAAGATGACCATCGCGAGGCGTTCCAGCATCGCCAGGGTGATGGCCATCTTGGAAGGACCTCCCAAGATGGCCATCACGAGGCAGATAGGACAAACATGTTGATACCCAGCCCCTTCGCCATCGGACCCAGGTGGTCCAGGATGTCGAAGGGTCCCCAAAGGCCATTGAAGAGGTGCAGCACGTAGTAAGCCGTCACGCGCTGCGGCCGCTGAAGGGCCGTTTGTAGAGGAAGCTCGTGTAAATGCAAGGCGATGTTGCGAGGCAGCGCGGCAGACAATGAGTTCCTTGTCTTCGCCTCCCAGGTCCATGATGGGGTCCGCGGGCCTCGACGACAGCGACGCCTTTGCTGCCGGGTACCCCGCTTGCATGAGTTGCTCGGCGTTTTGCGCCATGTCTTCGCCCGCCCGCTGCAGCTCGTCACCCTTGGGGGGCATTGCGCTGCGGCAGTGCTGCAGACATCTAGGGCTGAAGTGGTCGACGCGTCTGAGCGAGGTTGCCCTGGCATAGACATCCGCGTTACAGTTGGAGCGCAGACCGCCTCTGACGCGTCTGTCATCACATGGTTGTCCCCGAGTAATCGCGCGATGGGTCCCCCCGCGCCTTTGATCGCCAAGATCTTTCCGCAACCGAAACAGAAGAGATCGCTCCGAACTTGCGACGCCTGCGCACGATACCCCCCTCTCCTGACGAGGGCCGCAGAGCCCGTGAGACCATCGAACGGAATGCGTGATCCCAGGCAAAGTGATCAGATCGTTTACCAATCGGAGTCGCACTATCCAAGACCAGCTCGATCAACCAACAAAGTACGAATACGATTTATTTGTTTCAATAATCATGCCCCCCCCCCACCCCACACACACACACACACGCACACACACCACCACCGCCACACGCACCACCACCGCCACCACCACCACCACCACCACCACCACCACACACGCACACGCACGCACACACGCGCACACACACACACACACACACACGCACACCAAGCTCCATCAGCAAGTCTTTAAAATTGCAAGTCCCAAAAAGAAGTAATTCGGATCAAGTGTCTCAGGCGTGGGTTCGGAGAGCCAGCTTCCATGTCGGTTCGCTTGTCTCCAAACGAAGTAAGTGCCTCATCGTCTTTGCGTCTGGGGCCCTCCTTAGCATGCTACACGCGAGTTGCCGCGCGACGCGTTTTGACGCATCTGGCCGGGGCACGCGCGCGGCATCTTGCCGCGCCCATGCCGCGCCTGGGCTCCGCAGGGGAGCGCGCTGTCGCAGAGCGCGCTGCCCGCGGTGATCCTGACCTTCTGCTTGACGGAGATTATCATGTGGATCGCGGTGCGCATGGGACTTGCTGCAGCTGGGCGTCCTCTGTTCCCCTAGCCAGGTTCGGCCCCTCTCCGCGCTTGCTGCGGGCGACCGCGCCAAG